ATTTCTTTTAGATTTTCGATGTATGTATATATGTGTGTTTCTAGGTAGAAAATTTCAGTTATAAGCATTAGTGCTTGAGTTTTGCAGCAGTCAATTTTTGGACCCACACATGACATTTGCCTTTTATGTAAGACTGAGTTGTGCCATGCAGTCAGGAACAAGATGTCTTTATTGTGCGCACACAAACACTTTTATATATATATATATATATAGAGCTCTGTTTATTATAAAAACATTGAGATCTATGTGTGAATCAGTTTTAATATTTAATATTTTGTTAATAGGATCCACTTGGATTATATACCAACAGATTTATATATAAAAAAAAATAATAAAAATTATCTACGTCTGCTCTACGGTTGTATTGAGCGCTTTACTTAGTTGTTTACTCGTATCAGGGTTTTTTCTTTGGGCTTCAGACCTGCATCTGTGCGATTTTTTTTTTGTCGGCAGAAGTTCATGTTTGTAGCTCTTTCTTTTTTTAAAACCTTTTTTTCCCTCGAGATTGATTTGATTATTAGCAAATCAAAAATTTGAGGGTTTTTCGAAACGAGTCTAGTTATATATATATATAATTTTTACTATTTTTTTTTTTTTTTCTACAATAGGAGTAGATAGCTTCACCTATTGCCTGGTTCAAACTCCTTCCGTTTTTTTTTTTTTTTTTTTTTTAAACAGGAGTAGAAGTTTATCCCTTGTTTCCTGTTTAGGATTGGGTTTCTGGTTCCTTCTAAATTCTGTCAACTCTTTTCTTCTAATGTCTGAAACCCAAACTCTGAAATTTATACTTCTTCCCTTCTAAAGTTTTTTTTTTTTTTCTTCTCTTTCATTTTCAGTAGCCCCTTGCGTCTTAGTGGCCTTATTGCTTTACATGGGGTGAATTGATTAAAAAAATAAACTTATGGATTATTAATTAGTATCTAAAAACTGAAATCTTCAAATAGGAGTCTGTCAGAATATTTCCTTTATGGAAAGGATCCTTGAGTTTCTAAAATTTCAGAACTCCTGTCTTATAGTGTCAACTGGAGTTAAGTTTCTTTAAAATTTAGTAATATATTATTTGTAGATTGTGTTCTTATAATTGTCTTTTTAATCATTTTCCTATTTATTAATTCATTGTCGTTTTTTAGGTTAAAGTATATTAATTGCTTTTGTGTATGTGTTGGTTTTAATAGACTTTTATAGAGGTAAGTTTGTGTTATTATTCTTGGAAAAATCTAGCCATGTTCGATTTTCTTGCTGAATATTTTATTGATTTTATAAATCTGATGCTTATAGACTGTTTGGAAGAGACTTAAGCTTTGCGCTTGATTGAATGAGTTTCTAGAGCCACTTTGATCTTTTACTCACTTGATTTCAGATTTGCTCTATTTTTGTAAGTGTCTGTAAGTATAGTGTCACTCTTAGTCAAAATCACAATGTCATTGTGACATGTGTGGAATAGGATGGAGGATGATTTCTACTTTGGTAGATGAGAAAAAACAGTAAAAATTTACTTGGGTTTGTAATTTTGAAATAGTGTCGTTATTACCAAGTGAGAGAGCAGCATACCAACAAAGTGATAGCTGGGTACAAATATACAAAGGCTAATATATCCGCCATGGCATTCAGGTATATACGATGAACATGCATCACAGCCAAATGTACATGATATAATGACAGGTTTTGCTTGAACTATATCCCAAGTATATAAATGTAACTCCCAAGTTGCTTGAGATGCCTCATTTTTCAAAATTAAAAACATATCCAACCCTCTTGATACCCAATCATAATGCTCCCAGATTACTCTAGTTCATGAACAGATGTACTGTGTGGTAGCTGCCAAGAGACTTGCTCAACTGGTTATTTGTTTGAATTTTGAATCAAGAATAGTCAAATTTGTATGTTAGTGAACCAGAGCTAGAGTCAAATGGCAGAAATAGTGAACAGGACTTGCCTTATTCTTGACAAAAAAGAGTTTGTATTTGGCATGTAGGACTTCTATTTGAGAGAAGGCGAGTATATTGTTCCGTCAAAAGAGACTCTTCTTTGTTGTCCCACAAGAAATTGGTTCATTAGCAACTGTGTATAATATTAGCATGGTTGGACAGAATCGAGGAGGGACATCTGAGTGTGTTAGTGCTCCATTCTCAGATGCCCATATGTCTAGTATGTCTATCATCCGGGGCAAGTGATTAGTGATTCCCCATTATAAGTAAACCATCATGGAGATGAGAGAGGTCTTCGGTCAGGGTACATCATACTATACGTACAGTTGTGATAGGAGGAATGAACGATGAAGCGGATACAGGGAAGAGAACAACAATAAATAGCAAGAAACTGGTGTAGAGGGAAGAAACACCCAATCTGAAATTACATCCCAAAACAGAGTTGCTAACTTTTTTTGACCACATTGTATGTTGGCATTTCTGAAGATTGGTTCATTGATGTTTGTGTAAAAAAAATGGGACTTACTTCAAGTGGATTTGTCTTCTGCTGCTTTTATTCTCACTTGAGCTCAGTTAATTTTTTTCTTAGTTTTAGAACCAATCTTCAGAAACACCAACATACAGATTGGCTATTCTGGGTTTGTTTTGAAATTCAAACAAATATTATCTGAAGATGGCTGGAGTGTACATAATCTGAAATGTGAATGTAGCATTAAAGATGCGAACAGTCTGAACATTGTAAATAGTGTAATTAATTTGTATATATAGATGTAACTTCCAAGTTACCTAGGCTACCTCATTTTTCAGAATTAAAAAAAAACCCAACCCTCCTGCCTCCCAATTGTAATGCTCTCACATTACTCCTGTTTATGAACAGATGTACTGTGTGACAGTCACTAAGGGAGATGCTCAACTGGTTATGGTCAGGTAAGTCTAAATGATACTGAATGAAAGATTCACTTTCACTCATCTTAATTTATCAAGACAAAACCTGTGCATATTCACACCTCCAATCATGGAAGCCATGCCTGCTATAGCCTCAGAACATATATAATTTTATATTTTTTAAATACAGGCAACCAAAAAATTTATCACTACAGAAGCGAAAGATAAGGATAAAGACAAAAAATATTATATTCAGGGTGTGGCAGAGATACCTCCCACATAATGGTAAAACATTAGTGGCAATGGTGTCTTCCTCTTGACCTTTATTTTACCCATGAACCACTTTTACTCTTCATTTTTTGGGGTGGAACCCTATAACTGTTCAATGAAGAAGGAAAAAAAAAAAAAGCTTATTTTATTTTTTATTAATAGATAAGTTAAGGAATTCTTATATAATTTTCTTTATATATATATATATATATATATATATATATAAAAAATCTTTCCTTTATTTCCTCAGTTTTTACAGTCAAAACATCTGGTAGAGCAAAATGGGCACTAACATACATCGCATTTCTAGTATTTTAATATGATATAGATTACTGTAGAAATTCCAATTTTCAGTTGTAACAACCCGTTTCAAAGTGAAATTGCTTTATGGACCACTAAAATATTACTATGGACCCCCAGTTGAGAACCACTGATCTAGTTAATGTCTTACCATTATGTGGGAAGTATTTCTACTGTCCCCCTGTTTAACAGAGTTATTGACACTAGAATTGCAATTACACATTTAATAATATATCTTTAATATAACATTGTTCTTAATGTTTTTGTTTTAAAATTACAGGACTGCCTTTTGTTTAATTTTGCCTAACCTAATGTTATATGCTTACATGTAGTTCACTTCTTTCAGTTCCTATAAGAAAACAGATTTCCCCATAAAGAAGCCACCACCAACAAAAAAAAAAAAAAAAAAATCCATTTGTGTGGCTGCTTTATATTTAACTATATTGACTACAATGTAAGCAATATTTATTAAATATTTTAAATATAATTTTTTTTTTCTGGCAGCTTATCTGAATTTGTCAGTAAACAACACTTTTGGTTTTACAAATGTTTTACACACACAGATTATATATATATATATATATATATATATATATATATATATATATATATATGTTATGTTATTTATTTACTTTTTAATTGTGATCACCCCAAGCAAGCCACTAAGACACCCAGGGGTTACTGGGTGTAGAAGTATTAAAAAGCAGAAACTTTACTAAGGAGTGAGAATAAAAGAAGAATAATCAGGTGTACAGTAGATCGCAGTTGACATTGCATTAAAATTTTTAAAGATTAAAGTTGATTGGAAAGCATGGAGCCAGAAAGGAGTTCCACAAGCAAGAAGTGCAAGAAAAGAAACTGTTTGCATTGAACTTACAATTACATCTAGCCTTAAATTGATGAGACATTGTTGCCAGTTTAGGACTGCTTAAATTCATAAAGTCTAGGTATATATAAAAATAGATACTGAGGTCAACACTGGGAGGTGACTGTCTCCTTCATAATGGAGTGCAATCTTCATGGCCTGAAGATAGCATTCAAGCATAAAACGGACTGTTGCCACTCGGTACTGATTTCAGTATTTATTTTTGTACTTACATCCCTGGTATGGAAAAGTAAAATTCCTTTTCCGTACAAAAGGAAATGACTTTTCATGCTATGCATTTGCAACTTAGAAGTGTTAACAAGAATACAACTTAGCTTCTTGTTTGCAAATTTGAAAGAGGTAAAGTGAATCTAGTTGTCTTTTTGTTTTTTTTTTTTGTTTTTTTTCCCCCCATATTAAATAGTCAATAAATCAAGAAAAGTTCAAGTAACCAATCTGGGTAACAGGTAAGTCACTTGAACTTTTATAGATTTTATTGAATATTATAGCTCTAGTTATCTATTGAGTACTTTTTAGCAGAGGTTCTACTAACCTGAAAAAAACCTGTAAAATTCTCGTAATGTTCACATTTTTCAGTTGTATTATAATTATTATTTTTATATTAAGCATTGAAATTATCTTTTCACAAGCTGGAAAATTTAGATTGGAGTTCATTTCTTTAAAGTTACCTCAATATTAAGAATACAAAGGCTATTCTGTTTTCATTTATTTTTTTCTCTCTTTTTCTTCAG